CGCTCGTTAATTCAAGTATAATCTCGCGATCAGATCTGTCATCTTCATAATCCCGACGAGTTATTTGCTTATAACTATTTGTATGCGAACTAACATAATAAAAATTTATTTTACTTTATAACATGATTTATAGCAAACTTTTGTTGCGAAATTTTATAAAATGAGCATGAAAAAATAAACAAAGCTTAACTATTGAAACGTTTTCGAGGTTAGTTTGCTAGCGAACAAAAACAAATTTTTATACCAATGCCCAGCGTCGCATCTAAAGACAAATCTATTTTTTTACATAAAACTATTTTATTTTTTTAACAAGCGCAGTATCAAAAATGCTATGCTGTTTAATCAATACAATAAAAAAACAACAGTACATGTTGCTTATTCATTTTTGCAACTCTTTTGTAAATAATCCAATTTATTCCTACGTATATACATACAGCATGTCTTCCTATTTGCTAGCTATATTCGCTCAATAAATTTCTCATTTAATTTTTTTTTAATTTGTGAGTGCGTTTGTTACTCGCGAGATTGTATAAGTGACAAATCGGCCGATTTAATAATTGCGATATAAAAATGTTAAAATCGTATACCTACTCGCCGGCTATATGCATCGAAAGGTGAAGTGGCAGACGAGAGTACGGGAAAAATGGTGAACGAGGAACAGAACAATTATAATAGAAGATAGAAAGGGTGGAAAAAGGCAAAATCCAGTGGGACTGCTCTCGGTGGTAGTATGTTTTCACAATTATTCTCCGGCAGTTAGTGGAGAACAGAGGTAGGAATAAGGGTGGATAAGGATGAGAGTAAGAGCGAGTAAGGAGAGCGGAAGAATTCGAAGAGAGTCTCCCTCCGAGAATAGGGGTCAGGGGGCGACGGGTAAAACTCTCGGCTAGCACTTTTGTTAATTAAATGCCGTTGTTCGGTTGAACCGGGTTCTTTTGATCGAATTATCGTTTAAACAGCGTTCACTTAACAAAGAGCCCAGTAAGCGGGCTGGACGTAAAAAGCAGCTCATGCTGTGCAAACGTATCAAATCGCCGCCATCTTTTGCTAATTAGAGCCAATTTCCACTACCGCGATATCGCTTCGACATTCGTTGGTATAATATCTATTGCCTGCTTTTTGTACGAGCAGAACAAGTATATGCTTTCCGTTTGAGAACTCAAGCGCTACGCTGAATTTCGGCACGTAAGTGGCACGTTAAACAGCGCTATTACTGCGATGGGTATTACACTTGTCAACCGAGTGACGTATTTTACGACACGTAATAACGCTTAAGCGGCATTTGTTTCTACGGCGCGACATCCATTGATTTGTCGATCGTCGTCGAACATGTCGCGAAAGTCATTTCGAAGAAGAGCTTTATAATACATCCAGTCGCTATAAAAGTGTGCGCGCGCGTGTCACAAAGTAAATGGTTCGTTTCGCATAAACAGAGCATACAAGCGAGAGCGCGGATTGATATCACGCGAGAATAGCGAGCGAGCAAAAAGTTTCGATCGGCGTTGTGTTCGAAGCGTTATACATACGTGTCCGTGTGTGCTCGTCGGAGCGATCATGCGTGCCGTCAAAAGAGTTAACTTAGACGTATAGCCACGCACGCCGTCACCGGCGGCATGTTAATAAATCGGTCGATTTTTTTGCAGCCCTTTCTTCATGAAAGGGCCCGTCCCTCTCTCTCTTTCGCGATCGTTCACGCCGCCCCCATGTCGCTTTACGGAAGTCTTTTTCAGAGAAATAAAAAAAAGCTCAATACGTTACCATCGGTTACCGTGAGATATTGCTGCTCGCCGAAGCATCATAAAGCTATTCCCGACCGATTACTGTTTCCTCGTGTTGTACGGCTTTTTACGGACACATTAAGAGGCTTTCTCCATTGCCGCCGTTCGTCCCTTTGCATAGCCGTCACCATTTCGCAGGCGATAACGGAGCGCAATCTTGGCCGACACTTTCTCGCGTGAGTTTTCGTGCGTCGAGGGAAATATGATAATCCTTAGGCAACGCCGGTATAAATCGCGTCGTGCCAGAGTGGATTTTATGAGCGATCTGGCGACTCTCTTCTACGTTAGTTCTGAGGAAACAGATGAGACGCGGCCGTTCTTTTACTCATTAATTTTCACTGCACATTGCAATACTTTTAGTCTCTTTACCTCATTACGAACATCAAAGACTATTCTGATACGAGGAAAAATTTCACTTGCGAATGTAAACTGTACGAATGTAAAACGATTTATTTTATTGCTTTTCCGGTTTTCTTGTGTGAAATTTATAAAACGTATTATACGTGCACGAAGTAAAAGGAAATTACCTATACTTTTGCTAGTTTATTGAAAACTTTTTCTTAGCTATTATTATATACCAAGAATAAAAAAAAAATAAGGCAAATGTAGAATTTAAATGATTTTTTCAATATGCAATTTTTTTAAATGTTGAATTCTGTGTCTAACTTTTTATTAAAAATAATAATAAATTTTTTCGTCATCGTTCTGGTTAAATTAATTCGTCACGTGATCGATTGATCGTTGTAGAACGATCCCCTTCTCTAATTCTCAGAGAAGGGGTCGACATCGTAAAGTTGTTTCGTGCCTACGAGTCGCGCGCCTACCACCGAATGCGAAATCCATTTCCGCGTCTAACCAGGAAACTTTTAACAAGCCGCATTCAAAGTATGCGTGTTCCGTGTTAAAGTTATCCGGGTACACCGACAAGTACATATATCACGCGTAGGTGAAACATGGCGGTAATTACTTCGTGCCCAGACAAGATTTAGGAAAATTGTGGTTATAGTTTTAACGATCCTGAAAGAAAACCGATTTGATGAAACGATATTATTCGTCATTCGTCACAGATATCAGGCAATATATCAGGCAATAATAATATTTTTCGATTATCATTTCGAATGTATGGAATTGATGGTAGAAGAAAACTTGCTCCACAATTTTACTTAACGATAATGATTTAATAAATTATACTTCTACAACTGATCGGACGTTCGCGATTACTCGCAACCGTCTTGTCACGTTGTTAACTATAAATGACCGTCTATCTCTTTTACATCTCTGTTCCAACGATATTTCTTAAATCGCTGATGTCAAAAAGATAAATAAACTCGTCAATTCTTGGGCTTGTAAACAAATTAAAGGTCTAACGATATTCTCGACAACATCGAATATCGACGACTTTTCTGAATTTGACATAATTTTCCGTCTATCCAAATTTGACATAATCTCGGACAATATGGATAAAAAGAGAAATCCTATTTCTAGATTTTAATAAAGAAAAGCAACTTCTGTGCTAGAATACCATACGAGAGAAAGTCCATAGTCCATAGTATCGCACGCCACAATTGTCAAGTCCATTTTAACCGCATATTGTTCGCGTCGAGCGCGGCCAGCTTATTTGAACGTATCCCGTTGATGAAGTACAGCGAGCGAAGCCAATGGTTAGCCTGTCTACGCGCACAAGTGGGTCAGTACCAACGTCTTGAAGACACTTAAACTTAGTCCCGACTAACTCTCCCGGGAGATTCCCGTACATAGTGTCTGCTGCATGTTAAATACACGATTTCTGCGAAATGGTAGAAACTTTGGCTAGGACTGATACGCGAGATACATGGAAGCGCATCGTCGCGATTTCCCAAACTGATTGCAAACTAATATTCCGTTAAACTCGCTGCGAGTTATACCGGGCATTAATGACGAGTAACGTTACCATTATAGTTATCCAATTTCAATGTCAAACTAATTATAACGCTACGAACGTTCGCTACGTGAATATATACAATTTGCGAAACGCAAATCACGAAATTTTTGTTACCTGTGGCTTTGTTTGTACACAATTGACGTAACCGTGTTAAAACATGTTGGACTGTGAATCTTCTATTTGCGGGAATCTGTGGTCTTGAAATATTTTTTTATTTACGAAGAAACATTACGCAAGTATGGTACACCGCGTTTCTGCCAAACATCGAGTTTATTTATTTATCCGGTCGACACGTAAAAAGTCGTGAACTCACTAAATGTCATATTGGCTTAATGCCGAGAGGTGGCCAGAGCTAACGGAGTGAATTCAGTCATTACGTACAAAGGGAAAACAGAGCGGACTGTAATTAAATGTGAATTATTTAGAGTACGTTTTGTGTGCCGAGTCAGCTGCAGATATCGCGATTTCCCGTCGGGCACCAACGTCCAAGAGCCGCGATACCTATAATGGGACAGTTCACTCCGGCTGTGACGAAATTACGCTATGTACACATCCAGATATATGCGCACATACGCATGCACGCATATGTACACAGTGTAGCAACTGCACAAGGCACATGTAAAGAGGCAATTAGTGAGTTGAGCAAATTTTGATTTGATATTCCAGCAAGCCTTTTTTTATCTTTCTATTGCGATACGTTGATCGTAAGCTCACACAGAGCCCATATATTACGCATGCTGTAACGGAGCAATTTCACATTAAATTTCCCATTACGTTACGCTAAAACAAACCACATTTTTCGTCGCGAACGGTTAGGAAGAACAGCGATCAACGTACGACCGAGAGGAAAAAGGCGGAAAAATTCCGAGCAGGAAATGGCGCGTACGATAAAAGATGTATGATAAGCGGCTGTTTCGTGCGTAGCTTTCCATAGTATGAAGGGAGGGCTTAATCCAGAAATATGAAGTAATACGTTGTAACGCGCTCTCTCTTCTGACACGAGCTAATAATAAATCTCAATTTTGCCGAGTCAAAATAATGCGTGCGTGGCGAGAGCGCCTCTTCACAACTAACGACGAAACTCGTTTTAATTAATGCTAGAATCGCTACAAAATTACGAGGGATGAACTAAAGTTTGCCGTGTAACGTATTCAGCGCAGTGAAGTTATAACGCATCAAAAGCGCATAAATGACATCTCTTTTGCATATTAAACTGATTATCAATTCATTATAACAAGTCGTAGAGATATCATCTTTGTAATAAATGATTCTTTAAAAAAATTGGTTCGGATTAATTTCAGACAGAACGAGAGACAAAATAACCATGAAGTCTGGTCACGAGTCTTGGAGAGCATTTAGCATAGTTCGTTCGACCATCAACTACCACTTGACGCGAGAGAAAAAATTTCACAAGGGCGCCGCGCGATTGTGAACAAGACCATTCCACGAAAGAAAGGTAGAACTCCGTTAACTTTTTCGCTAGCCACTTCGTTCAAATCACTCGGCCAGCAAGGGCAGGTGAGTACAATATTTTCCACTCGAAACTTTTGGCCGCGAATCGAAAAAAAAACTTCTTGTTCAACAACGGTCACTTGGCAAGGCCATTCGAGCATTCGTAATCAGTATTTATTGGTAAGATCGTTCTTCATAGTCTTTTGTTTTCTTCACAGATCATCAGAGACCGAATAATTGCCGAGTACGGACTCGTCATCGCGAAAGAAGGCACTCCGATCGTCTCTCTTCAAATCATTAATGTTCGTGACACGGAGAAGCATTAAAACGCTATCGACGATACTTGAACTAAATGCAACATCAATTTTTGATAATTCTAAATTACTTAAACTCCGTTATCTTATTTAATCTGCAAAAATATTGATGAGAGAATATATATCCTATACAATACCCCTACGATAATTTCGTAAAAAAACTTTTTAATAAAATTTTTTATTAAGGTCTCTTTATATCAATAGATGTATTTTCGACCAATATTTTACAAAAGTTTTCGTTAATTTTTTAAAATTTTCTCTAAAATTTTAGGAATTATTTAGCATTCACAAACCAGTATTATGTATAATTAAAATAAATATGTAAAGTAAAATTTAAATATATAAATGTTTTTTTTTTAAATTTCTCCCCCAAATTTTAATCCACAAATATTCCGTTAGTCGAGAAAAAATATAAAACATCGGTCCGCACTATAAATAACATTACGATAAAAATTGGTCTATGTACTACGAAAAAAAAAGAAAAGAAAAAAGCAATGCTCTGCCTCCATTCGATGCTTCTTTAGCGTGGAGCATTTTGTTATCGCACTTATCAACGCACAGATACGTAACTGGGATTACGTGTGTGTTCGTACAGAAATCGACTGCGAGCATCGCTGGGGGCTATTAATCCAATTGCCAATCGATTCAGTTGGCCGTGTTCAGACGCGAACGTACGTCCATGTTCGAATAGATTTTTCATTTACAGGTGCTACCTACAGTTTGCTGCATTCAATTGATCGTCGATCGAAGAAATCAATCATTAAGATACGTTCGTGATACGCATATAACGATATACGTGAAACAAAGCATATATTTTTTCATAATTGTAACCATCTTTAAGTCGTACATTTATAAATATTTAATATCCATATATTTCAATGGATATAGTAAAAATAATTACAAGATTTATTAATAATAACAAAATAACCATGAAGATGTTAAAATATGTGTGAACAAAAATATCTAAATATCATTCAATTTTACTTATATTTAAGGATTATAGTACGCGTATATAGTCGCGGTAGAGACAAATGAAATAATGGTGCAATGGCACGAGTGCTTACAACATAGTGCTATAAATCCGAGAGCTATAATGCTCATATTCGATCTGCACGTTATATCATCATAAACGTGAACAAACTTTAACAGAGCACAGTAGTCTGACCACGTTCTGTGCCAGACAGTAATACATCCGACTCACCTAGTAGGCAATGCGTTAGGCGAACGTGCCTAGTGTCTAAGCCGAACGGCTTCTGGAAATTATAAACTATACGTCTCGTCACGTACTAATAAATATTTATACAAATCCTCTGTGCCAGCACCTAAATCGTTTTCTCGCTAAGAAAAAGCTGAATTGAAACAAGTGTGGACGATAACGATACCAGATCCTACTTCAATCACTTAAACTTTGATAAAATTTCATTCCTTCTCTAAACAGATTTTTCATTAAAGAAAACATTGAGTAAAATAAATGTACCAACGTACTGGACAGTCAGTGGACAGTCAGTGGACACGTTTCTATGTCTGGACACATTTGTCATCTTATTGTTAGTCCTTAGCATAAAAGCGTCCATTAAAGCTCATTTTTGTTCACGGTTAATCGATCTCAACAGTGCCATGTAAAAATTAACATTATTAATCATTCGCAAGGATGACAGCTTCCTAGTAGACGTCATAATTATCAACTTTGCGGAATAATTATCGCGAAACACGAGCCCGAACGGATATGCGACGCCATGAACGGGAGGCGAATTGTTCCTTTCGTCGCGTCAACGTTACACGACCGCGCGACTGTTTGGACGTTTCGCGAAATAACATCGAAGGCTTGGGGATGAAGGGATGCGGGGAATAGGGTGCGTAAATTACGAGGAGCTTGTTCGTGCCGGCAATAAATCATACGGGAGGCTGACAGGAACCCGGTCGCGACACCGTTGCACATCGTCCGTCGATTTAAAGTGTATACGTGTGTGTCGCGAGTATTTCAGAATTCGAATTTAGGAATGTATCGGTATGGAGCAGACGAGGGCGAGCTTCGCTTGTCAATTAATTCCATGGCTTTCCGATATCTCGCATTCGGTATGCGCATTGAAAGTACAATTTTGCCGATTAAAGCCGATTCATCTCATTGAATTCGAAAGAATTCAACCAATTATCATCGTGTATTAGTCGATGGTTTTGAGTGAATGCGTTTCATGGTAATTTGAGCAAATTAATAATCTAATTTGAAACACAATGTTATTAATATAAAAGTTCTTTAAAGTTCTCGGACAAATTTAGTTAAAGCCGATGATTTATAGTCACACGACATTTTCTAAACCATCAATATACGTATTTTTAATAGCAAGTAACTAAAAATGAAATCGAGATGATAGTTAATGACAAAATGGTAAGTAATGAGTTTACAATTATTATTAATGAAAGATCAGAAATGATTTAATCTGAAATTTAATATCTACAGCTAAAAGATTTTCGAAGACAATCTTAAGTTTGCCACGTCTTTATTAAAAATTATCTCAAACTGATTTAAATAAAATACCATTAAAATACATAAGTACGATTTCGGCGAAAAAAATTGTAGTAGATTTTATAATATTAGTTCTATGAAGATCAATCTGAGGATCGTCAATTACTGTCACGTTCTATCTGTGACAGTTGCGTCATCTTTCGATTTTACCGGCTCAGCCTAACTAATGAAAATCCTCGGAAAAATTGACTTTCACCCTACGTTCCCCCCGGTCGTAAAACCTCGGAGACGAAGGATCTTCTCGTAACCTCAGCTTGCTCCCGCCCACGTCCGTTCTACAATCGTATCCAGGGAAGAAAACTCGAGAGGAATTCAATCTGGTCTATGTGACTAATGAACGAATAAAACACTTCTGTCTGTCGCGTTTCATCCTCTTCTAGCTGTGTCTCTTCAAGAAAAATATACGCGAGAGAAAAGTTGATGGATTTTGAGCAGCGGGAAACTAATTTGTCGCAGCGCATTGAAATAGCATTATGAATCAAAACTTAGCCTTACATTTCTCACTGGTGATCATTAATTATCGCGATGTCGTTCTTCCGCATATAATAGGTCCGATATTCGCTTGAATTTGTTGTATCATAAGCGTTTCGCAATGTCGCTTCGATATACTGTGATTAAACCCGGTCTTGTTACAATCAGTGTAATGACAATGGTGATTGTAGCACTCTGTAAATTAGTGCACGGTGTACTATATCGCGCGACGCAACGTTTTACAACTCACGCTGCATTTAGTCCAGAGTGACGATATTGTACGCGCGACAATCGTAATTCGCGATGTTAACTATAATTTCTAACAACTAGATGGGATATATCGGGCGCTTGAGAATGGAGAGCGATATATCTTGTTGGAACGCCAAGTTTTACAAGTGATATATAGTGGTATGTTCCGCGCAAGGGGATAAAATATAACTTTTAATGAAACATCAGCGTCTGACAGATTGATTTTTGTTACGAGATGCCCGTAATATTGTTGCGATAAATCACACAAAAATGCAGTCATCACAACGACAAAATTGACAATATTTACAATATTGACGAGCATGCTGACGAATTATTTACGATAAATCAATTTTGAAGAGAAAATAAAGAATTAATCGTGGAGCATGAATGAAACATGAAAAGTTCGGAATTTTTCTGAAGGTGATAATATCCGCGATTTACTAATGTTCTTTTTATTTCAGGTTGAAGCGCAATCGTAATTTTCTCTGGAAAGAATTAAATTTTTATCAGCGTCTAAAAGTAAGTATTCAGCAATATAAAGCTGCTTCGCGAAAAATCTGATTCAATGCATTATTGATATTAATTATTTGAAAATAACAGGTCATATTATATATTTTATTGGCACCAAGATAGAATGCTCGTAATTCAAAGTATTATAATAATCAAAATTTTAAACATATTAGTCAACACACACTCTTTCTCTCTTTCTTCATAATAATAAGATTATATATATCTTTAAATATATCGTGTAAATATAAAAAAAACGTGCAATTAGTATATTTTTTTTCTCTATTTTTTTTCTAAAACGTTTGTTCTGTACGTTATGTACATTATATATATAATATCCGAAAGCTTTTTAGAGATAAAGCGATGAATTCTAAATGGCGTAAAATAATGCTCTGCGCTTTGTGTGTTATTCGTTAAAAGTATATGTTTCAAAATGAATGATAGATTGCTCTCTCGAGTTTACAGCAATGTATACGCAATAATAAAACGGCCTCTTATCTCCGAAGCCATGCATAGTTCAACTTAGACTAATGCCTCCGAAATGGAGATTTCGGAGCCCGCTATTATCTCCGCGAGTCAGACTTTTGCGTCGTTTGGAAAGCCATCGTGGTACTTGGTTATCCGCTTCCAGAGGGAAATTTTACTGACTAATAGCCGTCGTACTGGAATTGCAGCGTGGCGTATCCGATTCGGCGGTAGCCGAGTACGGCCTTTATTTTACGATCGTAATAGCCGGAGAGAGAACTTGCGGTTTCCTGTTCGCTGCTTTTGTCTCGCAAACTACCCCGGGTCATTTTTAATGACCGGCAATATAAAGTTCGATGTGTATCGAGTCAGCGCGAACGCCGCGCGTGCGTGGAAAGCGCAAAAGACGACGATTCCGCAGCCGCCACCACCGCCGGAGGCGGAACGGAAGTAGAAAGACTGGAGGAAAAGTTTCACGGGGAGTTCGGCACTTTAAAGCGGTTTTCATGCGAGCGCCGTCCTGCGAAAACGAAATTTAAGGGTCAGTCGTGGATGGTGATGGCGGAGAGGGGAAGATAATAGGATAAAGGAAAGTTTCTCTTAGAGCGCGCAAGGGGAATTCGATGTTCACGGTAGCGTTAGAGAAACGATCGTTCTCAATTGACTTCAGAAATTAGAAAAACGCGTCGTGCGTTAGAATCGCGACTTCTCATATGTATATGTAACGTCAATGAAATTGAGTTCTTTATCAGCGATAATGATTATAACGATTTGCCATATATATATATATATATATAAATTTTGCAATAAACTTTAAAATAAATTTAAAAATTTATTTAGTTTAAAAAAATTAATAATAAAGATAAATCGATCTATATATAACGCAATCATTCTCAATTATATCTTAATAACGTTGTT